GATTATAATATCCATGTCACAAGATGAAAAAAAAAAAAACGTATGATTTTTCATGCTTTTTTTTTTTCAAGGCACAACCTTTATCTCTCTCTCACAATTTTTTTTTTTTTTTTTTTTTTTTTTTTTAACATGCAAGGGCTGGTCAGAACAACATAAGGCTGTTGGTAACATCCAACAACCCTGCTGGTCATGCTGACCAACCATTGAGGTTGAAAACAATTTTTTTTATGCAAAAAGTTGAAAACATTTTTTTTTGTCAAGATTTTAATTATTGCATTTCACATCATGTTGTCCGTAAGTTTGCATTTCAAATCTTACATTTTCTGTTATCATATTTTTTATATATATTCTTATATTAAAAATTAATTGAATTTGATATTACATTTACGAGATTTTTTATTTTAAGATTTGATGATAATTTAATAAAATTCCACAAATAATTTTGCAAACGTTTTTTTTTATGTATGTGCTAACCATTCAAGATCGTGACTTCTAGAATCATTCTCTAATAATTAGTTTGTTTTCAATAATCTTTAAAATCATCAAAAATCTTTAATTTGACCGATTGATGCTCAAACCACAAAACTCGAATTTTTAGACTTAATCCAAAAATAAACGGTCAAGCCTATTTTTCAAACCCTACCAGTTTTAGATTCCAAAGGCTTGAACAAATAAAATATAAAGAATTAAATCTCCACGTTCATATGGACCTGACTTAAAAATAGACCTGCAAATAGGTTTAGAAAATAATGAAGTACATAAAATGAATTTAGGAATAGAAACAAGTAAGCTAGCCTTATTAGAAAATGATGATTTTAGATGATTATTATTTTTTAAAAATATAATCAACTCCTTGCCTATTTTTCTAGAACTAGTGCAATTTAAAATTCTTAATCTTCTTAAAGTACTAGGTGATGACTCTATTTTTTTTAAAAAAACTTTTTTAAAGGTAAATAGATTAATTTATCTTTATATAATACCCAAAGTCTTCCATCTATCCTTAAAATTTCAATTGCATCCAATCTATTCTTGAAATTTTTTAAAATATTCAATTTGTCCTTTTGATCAATTTTTTTTTACCATAATTTTTTTTATTGAACTATCCCTAATTGAAATGCAATAAATAAATAAATAAATAAATTCTAAAGACTTCAAAAATGGATCATATAGGTCATGTGATTTTTTTTTTAGTAAAGGGTATTTCGATCAAAAATTTATCCATGGTTTGAAAATTTGATCGGAATGACGAGTTTGAACATTTTAAAAAAATTTCAAGAACAAAAGAGATGCCATTGAAAATCTAAAAGCAAACGAGAGATTTTAGATATTATATAAGAACATATTGATGATCTATTTACCTATCTTTTTAATCTGAAAGTTTCATATATCGAGTAGGTAGATAACGACATGAGCAATGATCAACCACTCAAGTAGAATGCTTGAAAGTGAAGCAAGAAGCAAGTCAAAGTAGCCAGTAGACGTGTGGTCAAAATATAAACAGATAAAACTTTAGGAGTTGTGTGGTGTGAGAGTGAGAGAGTTTTGAGAGAGGGTGAGTAAAAAATCAAAAAATTATAAAAGAGGCAAAAGTTGGAAAATAATCCCCCTTCGTAATTGTTGGAGGTCGATATTTATAGTAAACCCACTAAAATCATATCATGTTATCTCGTGTTTGAATAGTGAGATTTGAGCTGGGAAAATCAATTTTTTTTTTTTTGGATGAATTGCTTTAACTTGTTAAGAAAGACTAAATAAAGGAACAATTAGATTTTGTTTTAGCTAATCTTGCTCTCCGAACCCACTAATCTAATCTTCCTAATGTGTCCTAAAAACTAAGCATAGAAGTTAACTTCGCTAGAATACTAGTATTCATTCTTGTGCGGTCTAAAGTCTAGTGGTGAATGGGGTTTATTTTTAATTCAATCCATTTATTACCTAGTTTGGACCCATGCTAAAACCCCTCCAAAAAAAAAAAAAAAAAAAAAAAAACCTAAATCGCTTAATCAATTTGAAGGAAAATGGAGTATATTAAATTACCTAATTAATTAATTTGAGGAAAAATGGAGTGTATATAGCATCAGAGTGGATGATTGTATCAAGAGACTGTTGAGGACCGTCTTCACACTACATTCCACAACGAATCCACAATTTCCATCATTTCAAGCAAGAAAGAGGAACCTTTTCTGAATGTCTCATACGTGGGTAGAGACGTTTTCTCCTCAAGCAAAGAACCAAATAAATCTTTTAATAAATGTCCTCTCTTATGGAATCCAAACGTTGTTTTTAAGTTCAAGCCACTAGATTACCTATTTTTAAAATGAAGACATTTAATCTCCCTCGTCCATGCTAGGTCGAGCCTCCTTGTTGCTGCATATGGGAGCAACAAATCCCACGGGCATTCCTATGTTACAACAGTTGTCTTTTGGATAATTGGTCAATGGTAAGATTCATGCCTCATTTCATCCGTTTGAATCTAGAGCTCATCACACCAATTTTTTTTGGATGAAAACACCAGAGTGGTTCACATGTCTCCACTTAATATGGGCAGTGGTGCTTTCACATCCAGGCAAACAAGTGATGTAACTTGTCTGATCAAGGTTGTACCAAGAATAAGCTAACCGAGAGCCAGGCCAACATTTTTGATGAAAAGGCAATTAAAACACATAATGATCTGGCCCTCTGAATCGTATTCCTTGGCTTTAAGCAATCGACATGGCATGTTTACTAGTCGACATTTGCTCCGGAACCTCGTGCCCCCATCAGGTTGAGTTCAGATAAGTGACAAAAAGCCAACCATGAACCACCTGCCTTAAACCATTATTGAATGGGGCCTTTTCTTTCCAGAAACACTTTGCAGTTGCCGACAAATTCGGAAGTTTCACCTTAGGAGTATTGGGACATTAAAAAGAGAGCACAAGCACTCACTGGAGCAGACAATGGGCTAAAATCCCTCTAAAAAAGAGCCAACGTTTTCATCCTTTCCCTTGTTCATTTTGTGACAAACATAACAGCAGTAAAGATCTCTCTTCCAACCATTATAAGACCATCTTTAACCTTTATGCTCAACATGTCAGAAGTGACCCAGAATAACAGCTAAAAAAGTAAGCATGACAGGATACATCAGACAGAAGCTTGGATTCTCAGTCGCCGAGGCATTTCTCCAACCTAATCACCTGGCTCGAACTATTTTCATCAGAAATATGTTTCTAGGGATTCCTTAAACAAAATATAAAGAATCTTCCATAAGATGGAGCCAATCAACAATTTATCAATCCATAACTTCAGACTTCACAGCCTATTCTCAAACAATCTGTTATTAGACAGAAGTACTTCCCCGCGCTATATGGCCATAAGGGATACGTTCAAACAAAATTTTACGCTATTTGGATATTACTTTGTTTCAGAAAATAGGCATTAGTGAAGCCTTCCGAAGGCCTGACAGAATTACTCCAAAAACCATGCAAATTCAATCAACACCAAAGGAAGCAGAAGATACTCACAACGCCAACCAATTTCTACATGAACTCCTTTTATTCTTTTCAAATGTCACCCTAAAAAATATGCCTAAAGTTAGAATTAGCTTTCTACCTCATTCACTGTGCTACTACTCATGCATCATACGTGGGCGTATTATGAGTCAGTCTCAAATGTTGGTAGCAATCAACTACATCTACAAAGCTTACATGAAATGAAAATAACTGGTTCTATCTTCACAAACTTCAACAACCAATCCACTGTCTAAGGCAATTACAACCCCAAATACAGTCACGAGTACCTAGTTACGATGGGCCAGAGTTACAGGAACTCAGAACATAACAAAGAATATACACAGGGACAAGCTTTACTTGTGTCTGCGTGGATTTGATAAACTGTACATTCATTTTGTCCCTGGGAATAAATTACATTAACCTTAGCATTCCTCCCACGTTAGAATCATGGACATTCAAGTGATATGAGAAACTTATTAATAGATCCTAAGAAACTCTGGAATATCTAAACTCTATGCTTGACACTTCAACATTTTCCAACAGACAATCTTGTTAAAAACTGCTATCTGTCAATGGCACACTCTAGGTTCTACTTCAGGACCTCCATAACCAAAGTAAAAGGTAGTTGGAAAAGCCTTCAATCACACTTTCATTTAACGCTTCATTTTCAAGTGAAAAATCTAGTTCGAAATTGCCAACTCAATATAATACCTTATCCCAGCATGATATTGCATAGAATCATTTGCAATCTAATTTTTTTGCAAATACAATACAATAGTCTGCTCCATCATTAGGAGTTTCTAAGTGATACTGATGTCAAAACAGAAAGATAACATCTCTTAGCTTCAATCCATTACTCTCCCTCATGCATATTCCATAGCCGCTCGAACGCTAAAAAATTGCAGATGCCAATAGTAAATGCCAATTGGAAAAGTATGCTAATGGTGATTTGGTGACAGTAGAATACATGAACAAGAAGGCATCGACAAGTAAAAAAACTAATACATGAACAAGAAGGTATCGACAAGTAAAAAAACTATGGTCTATAATACATGTACAAAGTTTTATATAAACGGATAACTGTTCAACTGAGAAGCCTGTGTTTAAAACATTACACTAAGAAAATACAAAAAGGCATATGATCCAGATACAGCAAATAGGTAAACTCTCTATTTTCTAATCCTTGATGAGAACAAGTGCTTACCTGTTTAAAGAGTCATGAATCCTACTAACTCTTTCTTCTTAGATGGTGAAGAACAAGAGGGGTCCCTTCAAACAAATCAATTAAATAATTCTCTAAATCATCTGGTGTGTACTTTATGTATTTCCCAGCATGTCTTCCACTCTCTAGCTGACTCCCAAACCTCCCCATAAATGAGCGATAAGCAGGCAATACTTTTTCGGATATGGATATTCGAAGTTCTTCACGAAGTTGAGGATCCGGCACCTTCCAACCAGTCTGAATCCTATATATTTCCTCAAAGCACGCATTAAAATTCTTGAACCTTTCCTTCAAAGCCACTTTGGGGGCATTATTTGAACTCCCCCAATCCCTTCATCCTTCAAGCATGCCAAGGCCTTACTCCACGCAGCCCTAAGATAAGCCGTAGCATACTGGCGTATTTGGCCACGGTGTTTGCGGACCCATTGATCTCCCAAAATCTTAATAAGCTCTGAATCCTTAACTTTTTGCACCATGTACAGAATATTATTCATAAGAAATATATACTGCATAGCACCATCCTCATACAGTCTCGATTTCTCCTCAAGATTAGACTCCAAAGTTGATAACAAGGCCAACAATCTCCTTGTTATAGGAGCCATGCTTTCTAACTGCAATCTCTCACCATCGTCGTTTTGCAATCCATTTAGTTCGTCATCATCGTCGTTCTCCAAAAGTGAATTCAGTGTATCACTATAATCCACAAGCAATTTCACATAATTCATAACATACCGTGTAAGTGGATGAATCTCTCCACCTGACATAGGCTTCCTAGAAGTCTCACTTTTCACAGCATTCTCAAACTCCATAAAAGTCCCTTTGGCGGCGAATCCCAATCCCGCCAACACTCCTTTTGCCTCACCACAAACAAAGTCATCTGTAACCATAGCCTCCAAATCCGGGAAAACAACAGACAACGCGTCATACATATCCAAAATTCTAAACAACTTCTCGGACGACCTTCTCCCAATAGACACTGCCTCTGCAAAATTCAACATCTGCATCAAACACCCTTTTGCAGTCTCATTAAAACAAACTTCCCTAGCCGAATCCGACCCGCTAAAAATCACATCACAAAGCCTTCTCTCTCCACTCAAAAGAACCTTAACACCAATCTTAATCGCCCGAACCCACTTCTTCATCTTCTCATCCAAAGACTTCCACTCTATCTTCTGCACTTCCTCGATACTCAACTTCTCAACACCCAAAATACCCAAACACTCATCCAAAGCATCCCTTCTCACACTACTGTAAACCTGCACGCACTCTTTCTCATACCCGGATCGTATCATTCTATCAGCAATCTCTTTCAAATCCATAACCGCCTCGGCATGAATCAAATCAACACACAAATCATCTCCTAAACTTGCTCCTCTCTCATGATAACAAACACTCTCAGTCTCCACTTCTCCAAAACTCTCAAATTCCTCATCAATTTCCCCTTCATTCGCCGCAAACGAAAGCGAAATCCTCCGAATAGATCCATACAACCTCTCTGCGTCAAGCGGAACTGTATTCCTTATCAAAATATGCCTAAACTCGTCTTCCAATCTCGACATAGCCACTTGAACCGCAGTCTCCGCCCGGTCCAAAACCTCCGAATCAGGCCGGAGCGATAAGTTATCCAACATATCAAGAATCTCATCAACAGCAGATAAATAATCCCTAGCTTCCTCCGGTGACTCATCCCAAGACAGAGCACCGACGGTGCAGGATATGCCGGAGTCTGACCGGAGAATGATCTTCTCGGCGGCTTCTAAAATTAAGGATTGAGAGTTCGAATCGGTTTTGATTAAATCCGATATGTTCGATAAACGGTTATCGAAACTAGAAAGGATTAATAACATGTCTTCACGAACGTTTTTTGAAGTGTTTAAACTGTTCACGATCTGCTGTGCTGTTGCCATGACGCGATCGTCTGCTCCGCCGCCTGCTCCTCCGCCGCCGTCAGTTAGACTGCTTGTTGTGGTGGTTGTCGCCATTTGATTTTTCATTTTTTTTTGGGAGGAGGATTTTAGGGATTTTGGCGGAAAGGGATAATATTATGGAAATTGAAGGGAACTATTCTGGTGACATTTTTTCTTTTCGCGTTTTGTTTTGAAGTGAGGGAATTAATCGGGCGTTGGTGGTGTTTGGTTGGCCGGCTGGTCTGATTTGTTTCACCTTTTTTTGATAGTTTTATGGTTTTAGTTGTAGACCATAAGAGAAGAGAAGTAGTACTTGCGTTTGTGTTGTGTGCTGAGTAATGTTAGACAAGGGAAGACTTATCGCCAAGCAGGAGTACTTGTCGTTGATTGCGTTAATTACACTCCAATCCCTATGGGTTTCATAGTATTTCACTTCAGATCCTCCGGTTTAAAAGTTTTCAATAGCATTCTCTAAAGTTTCAATCTTTGTTGCTCGAAACTTGGACACAAATGCCTTTTGGGATATTTAGAAGCCAATATTTTCCATTATCTAAGTTAGATTCAACATTTTTACACTAAAAATATCAATTCACAATCTAATTTATATTAAATTTAAATTCCAAAAGCGAACGATAACCGTTTTAGTATGTTATATATAATAATAACAATTTTAGTGTGTTGTATATAATTATCTATCGTAAAAATATGAGTGTTGTATTTGTATGTTAGAATTATTTTCCTTAAGCCTAATGAAAATTGATGAAGTATGATTGTTAATTAAGATGGGGTATTTTAAGTTTGGACAAAATATTTGATCCATATTTCATATTTATATTTATGGGTATTTTATTTTCAAGTAAATAAAGGACTCGAACATTAAAGGTTTCAATGTAACGATTTATTATTAAATATTTAATGACAACTAATGACACAATTAGTTTATTAAACTTTTTTGAGTATTTTGAAGTTTTGAAACAAAAGATAAAAGAAGATTAAGAAAAAGTTGGAAAATTTTGAGTATTTCGTTAACTTCCATTTTCTATTTAACAAAGAAGGTCATATTGAAACTTTTTAGAAATTATAGTATCAGTATTGGGAGATTTGAGTCACTAAATGCACCATTAGGTGGGTGCTGCTACTTATTTCAATGGGCTGGGCTTGTTTTGAGTTTTGACAAAGTCTTATTCTCCTCTTTATGGGCCCATGTTGGCTGCGGAAGAAATTGATGCGAATAGTACAAGAACTCGAGTTTGGCGTATGTGGAGGTGTGTGATATTCTTAATTTGCATGCAGCAGAGAAGACAGATGGGTTGAAATGATGGATTTACTTGACTTTTTATGGATGTAGATGTGACATGGACTTTTGAAGGAAGCTGACGGTACTTGGGCTTTGAATTTTCAGAGTTCTTTTTTTTTTTTCCGGTGTTCTTGATTTGAATGATTGTTGTAGTTGTTGTTATTCTTTTGATTTGGTATGGAAAGTATATGTGATTAGAAGGTTCGTTCACATTCAATGTAATAATCCATTGTTTAATCCAAGTAAGATTTTCATGTAATTTTTATAAACAAATTGAATACGAAAACAATTGAAGAAACAAAGTAAAGCATGATGGTTGCCCTAATTGTTAAAGAGATGTGCACTTCTTTATATGTACTTTTAAAAATTTCAGGAATATCTTAGTTTCTTTGTAAAAAAAAAATAAAAAAAAAGCCTCCATATGGACACTCTTCAATGTGAACAAAATCTAGTTCTTAATAGGTTCATGACTAGAAATTTTACTTTAATTAATAATATTTAGTTTATATATAAAAAAAGGATAGACATAATAAGAAAAGAGACAAAAATGATACATATGAAGATAGAAAAAATACGAAGATAGGAAAAATATAAAATATAGAAAATTTAACAAATTAATGAAAATATTTTTATCACTTTTAAATTTTACTTTAATTAATAATACTTATTTTATATATAAAAAAAGATAAGACATAAAAAGAAAAGAGACGAAATGATATATATAGAGAAAAAAAATATAAAATATAAAAAATTAATAAAAATATTTTTATCATTTTTAATGAATTTAAACATATATTTATTCTTTACCAATGTCTTTCTTTTCAAAATTGACTGATGTAGTAAATATTATTAGTCAGGAATTTAAAAATTTTCGGTTCATTACTTCATTGACCCCTCCTTGAATGGTTTTAAATTCAAAAGGACCGTTTTATCGTTTTGAATCACTATCATAGGAATGAGAATTCAGCGAAGTAGAAGAAGGAGGAGAAGCAAGAGGGTCATAATCACAGGCAAGGAGATGTTGAAGTTACCTAATTAATCATTCGAAGATGTTTAGCTTTCTTTTTTTTAAAAAAAAATTAATATAATTTAATCACACCATATCAAAAATATTTATATACATCCAATGCTGTTAGGTTGGTGTATTCGTAATCAAACTCTAGTTATGAACATTAGCATCAACTTGTTTGCAAAAATCAATCAATCCTTGGCGTGCAACATGTGCCATTTTCAACTCTGGATCCCCACAAAAGCTGACCATTTCCTAGGCAAAAACAAAATTAATAAAAAAATATCTTCAACTAGCTCATCCAACAACCTTTCAACCACAGATGTCGGCTATTTTGTTATTTTCATTGAAACTGAATTGGAATAAAAGAAGAGAAGACTGCCTCTTTTGTCAGTTCACTTCGCACCTAATGGGGTTGATACGACTTTTATTATTATTATTTTAAAATTTCTTTTGATTTTTTAGCTAGATCCACGGTTTTTGAAATTATTTTATCCAACAATGGATGGTTTGAAACTATGAACTTAGCCATGCAGGATTAGGTTCAAGACATGAGAAATTTATGAACTTCGATTTATTAGAATGTTTTGGTCGTGAGCTAATCAAGCTGCTCCAAGTAAATGTCATACTCCAACTATTTACAAATGCTGATATTTAAATTGTAATAATGGATGGTCTTTGTGTTTTCGATTTTTAAAGTTTCAGTTTAAATAATCACAGTTTGAATAATTGGATTCTTATGATGTGGTCCATTAAGTAGCATAAGTCCGTTTGTTCATAATCAATCCAATCTTCCTTAATTTTAATTTTTTTTAAGGGAGGACACGTGCCAGTTTTCTATTGCTTCTAATTTCAAATAAAAAATATATATGTTAAAAAATTTTGCCAACTTTTTATTTAGTTATATCTAGAAATTGTTTTCGAAATTTTATTTACATTGGATTTTTTTTTTTTTTTTTTAGTTTTAAAAGGCAAAGAAGTGTAAAAAAATATTACGACAATTTTTTTGTTATTTTTTATTAGTTGAAGATGGATTTGTTATTATTGGCTATAATTTTTAATTTTCTAGCTAACGGTTTATTTATTGACAAAAAAGGGTTGTTTTTTTATTTTTTATTTAAAAATGTTACTTTATTATTATTATTATTATTTACTTTATCAATGAAGGATAAAATTATTGATTCATTGATGAAATATACTTGATTAAATTTGTGTCTTTTTTGATATGCATGTATTTTTAATTTAACTTTTTCATGAAATTTTTTATTTTATATTTTCACATGATGACCTTTCAATAATTATAAAAGAAATAAATGTGTTCGATAAGTAATGTCGCTATTCAGCTTTTTCTAAAGCTAAAAACTTAAATAATAAAAAAAAAAACTAGCAAATTGGTCTAAGAGTTCGGCTAAGAGAATTGATTATAAAAATAGAAAAGACTATGATCGTTCTAATATGCTTTCATAATGAGGTTAAAATTCAATTCTAACATATGAGAATTTTTTCATGCTAAATCTAATTATGTGTCTATTTTTCTATCCCGATTTTTAGTTAATTATCGAGCCTTTTTTTATTCAATACTAAAACGAGGTGATTTAAAGGCAAAAATAAGGCTTGGCCTTATTGGACCGTTGGAGCCCAAATAGGAAAGTAAAAGTCGTTGCTTAAAGCTCATTGTAATTTAAATAGCTCAAACCCATATAAATATATATATAAAAATAAAATAAAACGAACATGGATCATAGGCTCAAATTCACCCCGCCACACTATCAAATAAAAATTATAATTTTGAAATAAAATCATCTAAAAATACGGACATATGCTTGAACCGATATCCACATGCCATGCCACTTTTAAAATAATAAAATTGGCTTAGGCTGAAAACCAAGTTCAAGACAAAATCTAGAAGAAGACAAAATCGAGTAGCACTAAAAAAATTTTAAAAAATGAAATTAAAAAAATGGAATAAATATAAAAATATAATAATAATAATAATAAAAGATCTTTTTCATTATAATAAAATTGGTTTCAAGTCTTAAAGCTACTTCCTCTAAAATGACCTAAATTGACATCACAACAAATAAATATGAATACAAAACATAACAAAATTAAACATGCAAGGATTGCAAATTACGTAAAAACAACTCCGTGGAAACTAAGATAACAAACTCGGTCTCCACAAGGTTCTTGGTTTTATTAACTTATATTGGACTATTTTTTTTCCATCATAAGAAAAAAAAATTGTTAGCTTATTGCTAACTCATCATCAACCAATAATTCTTCAAGAACTTTTTATACAAAAAATAAAAATAATATTACACATTAAGTCAACACTCTTAACCCCATATTTTTTAAGAAAATAATCATAATATTGTTGCTATCCAATATTTAGGAGACTTTCAAAAAATAAACAATAAATTAAATTGTTTGGATTTATTATTTTAGGACATGAGTTAACGGACATTTTGGAGTCACCACCTAGCATTAAAGAAAACTACGAAACCTAAAAATGACACTAGATTCGGAGATTACAGGTAAGAAATTGGTTATACCTTTGAAAAGATATCAATCACCCAAAATCATCTTTATGAGAAAAAGTATCATGTCTAATTTAATCCTAAAAATATATCTCATACGAATTTATTTTGTCAAATTATTTTCTAATTTTATTTCCAAGTTTGTCTATTTTCTAAATAAAATTATTATTTTTTATTTTATTATGATATCGTATTAAATTGGCGTTGGGGTGTCGAGAATAACGTTCGTCCC